TAGGAAGTAGAAACCCATCCAGAGACACCATGAGGACGATAATTGCAATCTTCAGCTTTCGTACACGAAGCGAGTACGGTAGCTCGATGAGCTGCGGCCGATCCTCACCATCTTCGCGGCTCGCTCTACTTTTTTCCACATCAACGAAAACTCCTTCGTCCCCCAGCTTCAGCTCGGTTGTGGCTTCAACACGCTGTACTCCATCATTATCGTCTATCATCGTCATAGAGGTAGTTGCTGTCGATACCTCCATACCAAGCTCGAATGCTGGGTCGCTATTGTTCATGGAAACGCCTGATAGCGAGAGCTCTGGCTGGGCCATCTTGTAAGCTTTCTCTAGAGCTCGAGCTCAGGTGTCAGCGGGCGATATGCCACTTGAGAAAATAATATCACACATTGTACATGTTTCAACGGTATCTCACACTGTCAAATCGTGACGGCGGAAAAACAAATCTGCCAAAGCTGAGAGACCCATGGCTTGCCGTGATCGGCAAAATATGAAACAATGCCCGCGAACCCGATGTGTGTGGCTTTTTGCGTTGGAGACAATCTAGAAATAAATCCGAATATATACCTTCACCTCAAACAGATGCTCGAGTACCAAGGGACACCTGGCTGCCGTCCTCCACACGGTTATCGAGAGGACTTCTCCCCACACTTTAGGGAGAAACCACTCAATTTACCGTGGCTTGCACAATCCAGGTCAAATATGCTTGAATAGACAGCAGATTTCCAACTTGGGGTGTGTGCCGCCAGATTGGGCGCTCTTATAGAGACACGACAGGGGAGGTGGATTATGCACAGTTTTGCCTATGGTCTTGTGCGTCTAGATCATGTGTGCCTCTCCTTAGGTTAGAACGAGATGCACACAGAAAAGTAATGAAGGCTAAACTGACCGTTGGAGATATTTAAGCAGCGCTGAACCATAATCTTCCACCCCCGAATCTTTATAGGGCAGATTCTAAGGAGGCACAGTTGGGGGGTATCACTACCAGCTGGTTGAGAAAGGGGTATCATAATCCTTGCAACACGGAAGTTACAGAGGATATTTGAGTCAAAATAATGGATCGGGAGTAGTTCTCACCAAGCAAAGTACTGGTGAAGATACCTGCTGAGTTGGCACTTGTATATATCTTTGCCATGCTGCATAGGCAGAGTACCTATCGTCAAGTATATACCATATACCTATATCAGCCTTCTTTGCTAGATACTCTGCGGCTGGTAAGGTACATTGGACCTGCCAGTATATAATATTAATAAGCACAAACCGTACCTGACTGCCAGGTTCCCCCCCCCAGTGGTGTATATTTGTGCCATTTGCCGGAAGGAACGCGATAATGTGCCTCTTCGGAATGTAACCTCGTCGTAGGTACATTTTTGGCCACTGTATACACTTTATATATCTACAGGTGATTTCAGATTAGAGTCAGCATGAGCGACATGACGTCGTGACATTGAAACATCGAATCTTGAATCCACCATCAAGTAACCTAAGTCACTAACGACAAAACTGAATGCGCGAAAAAAGAAAAACACATGCGCCCGTAGATATATATGTTCTGGTCCGTTCCGGGATTCAGTCCATACCGGTATGGACCGGGCCGTTCCAGGATGGCCCGGTCCATAGACTGGGCCGTTGCGAGATTGCCGGGCCGTTCCGGGGTGGCATATATGTGCACTCTAAGCGATGAACGAAGGCAAATTGAGTGGAAACCGAGTCTATTATATTTTATACATAACAAAATCTCAAACTTCACTACGAGTGATTTCATGGTACCTCTCGTTCATAGTACTATAGGTCTTGTTCTTTTCTGCATGCAGCAAAGTATCACGAACATGTTACATCATGCTCCAAAGCCACTTGTTTCCCATCATTATTTTCCTTCCATCGCAGATTGATTGCTGGAAAATCGCCTGCTGGGGCCTTCAAGTTTGGGTCTCGCAGGTTATGCTTTAATTCTGCGATACCTAGGTAGTTCTTGTTAGTCACCATGTACTTGAATTAGATATTAAGGAATTACTTCTCAAAGGTCACCTGGGATTTACTTCAATAATTGCGCCTCGAGATCGAGTGAAACCTAGGGGGTGAAACTGATCCAAATCAATAGCACCATTATCTTCTGCCCAATTGACATTATGGTAAGGGCGGGAATGTCGTGGTATGTTGGTAATGTCACGGTATGTTGGTAATGCCGCGGTGTGCTCTGGTGTCAGTGTGCAGAAATGTTACCTTGAACAAGTGTGTTGCGTTGAAGAAAATTCTCACGAACTAAAGGTGTAACGGACCAGAACATTTCTCTACATAATAACTTTCATTTCGGGTATACCTCTACTGAGTATTTTTTTTGGACAGGTCATCTATGTTATCTCCGATGTTCTTTGACCAAATGTTGCTACAAAGTATCCTTCATATCGGATATGTCCCTATTTAGTAATTATAACGTCGCTGTGGCCGCTGTGGCCGCTGTGGTAAATCCCTGTTGCAATCCGTGGCATTGAACAATTTAATCCCGGAACGGACCAGAACAGATATACGCCAGTTTGAGCCTCGGTCTATTGGTTAGCCAGAAGTACCCCACGATTTCCCTGAATTTACCTTCCCACCCTTGCCATGCAGTCGATGCCTTATCCAAAAATCTAGATTATGTAAAAATCTGTCAGTGCATATGTATATCTATTACTTGTAAAAACGCCGCCCTCGCCACACCCACGCCCGCACCATCACCGCCGCTGGTCTAGAAGCCTAGCCGCCACGGTCCGGGAATCCGTGCGTATCCGTTAGTTCCGAAAAAGGATAGAGGACTATAGCTCGGTTTGTATGTGGGTATATTAGAATTGATGGTCACATGAGAATATGAATAGAAGCATCTCAAGATTGTTGACATATGTTATCGTGTTATCGTGCCATGGAGTATGTATAGGACTTCCGAGTTTTTTTTTTTTTTTTTTTTTTTGGGGGGGGGGAGGGGGTGGAGAATTATATGCATGCTATCTATATATCAACAATCTGAATTTTGTATAGCCATACCAATTGTTAAAAATATGCTGGTTGCATAAACTTGCTTTTAGGGGGTATTCAAGTTAGGTTTGATCGTGGGAAACGACAATCTTATAACAGCCCCGTTGACCGTGGGTATCATCTATCTCACGAGCAACGGCAGGGTAGAGTAGAAACTTGATTATTTAAAGTCCATGGTGAATATAGTAGACATTACCCTGGCAGAAGTACTACAAAGTCCAATCTAAACCCAAACAGACGGCTGTCCAATAAACCTGGCAGGAAAAAAAAAAAGGGGGCTTATTTTAGTCATTTGAAGCCAAGACATGAAGTGAAGATTACCCTGAATCATGAAGCTAACAATAGCAGTTTTAAATTGGCACTCTTCAATTGATATCCAGGATTCCTTGATATACATTATAATCCTCAGCCTTCTCAAATTCGACGGCCCACAATTATGAATCAGCTCGCCCGATTATTTGTTATAATACAAAACAGGCTCGAGTATAGTCTACTTGAATCCCCCTCTAATATTCGAGCCAAGGTATATGTCGCATTCCTTGCATAAGAGGCTTATATGGGCAGGATCAAGGCTATATAATATATACGGAGAGAAGACAGCACTGATCTAGTACTTTGTATACCACACCTAATGATAGCAGGCAGCTATACGGCGAGGCATAGAAGCTTTAGAGGCTTTCCAACAGTGACCCCTGAATGTCCTTACAATGCATCCATTAGTGCCCTCTATGCGTATTCACCAAATCAGGAAACCCTTGGAAAACCTTTTGCGAAGTTGGGCACTTTACATACATATCACAACTCACACACTACCCAACCACCTAATCTTATCCAGTGTAAGATTTCAGAGGTATGGAAGTAAATTAGCTCATGATTTCTTTTGCTCTCCCTGAGCATCGACCGAGTTCCATTTGGGGCAGTTGATTTGGGGCAAATGTGCTTTGGATACTCAATGTTACTATTTGCGCCCATATATTCGGATCTTCTGATAGTTCGCTAGCTTGATAAGTAGAACTTTCCCCACACTGATGACGCACAATACAAGGGAGTTTCATCATGGAATGAATGGGAGTGTCGATGTCATATACATGCAGGTTAAAATTTGCGTTTCTTGAATCAGCATAACAAAAGAAATTGTGGTCACGGTGAGACTCGAACTCACAACCTTCACGTTTTTAGCACGATGCTCTGCCAATTGAGCTACGCGACCTCGTACCTGTACATATGAGTTTTCTTATTTCTTTTTATCTTTTTGTAGATTAATTGATGGACGCACAATACAAGGGATAAAACCTTGCATTTCTTGAATCAGCAAAACAAAAGGAATTGTGGTCACGGTGAGACTCGAACTCACACCTTCGTGTTTTTAGCACGATGCTTTGCCAATTGAGCTACGCGACCTCGTACCTGTACTTATGAGTTCTCTTGTTTCTTTTCATATTTTTTATATTTATCACAGGTGGACAAAATCTCATGTGGATTGATGGACGCACAATACAAGGGATAAAAACTTGCATCTCTTTAATGAGCAAAACAAAAGAAATTGTGGTCACGGTAAGACTCGAACTCACACCTTCATGTTTTTAGCACGATGCTCTGCCAATTGAGCTACGCGACCTCGTACCTGTACATATGAGTTTTCTTATTTCTTTTTATCTTTTTTTATATTTATCACAGGTAGACAAAATCTCGTATAGATTGATTGATGGACGCACAATACAAGGAATAAAACCTTGCATTTCTTGAATCAGCAAAACAAAAGGAATTGTGGTCACGGTGAGACTCGAACTCACACCTTCGTGTTTTTAGCACGATGCTCTGCCAATTGAGCTATGTGACCTCATACCTGTACTTATGAGTTCTCTTGTTTCTTTTCATCTTTTTTTATATTTATCACAGGTGGACAAAATCTCATGTGATGGATGCACAATACAAGGGATAAAAACTTGTATCTCTTTAATAAGCAAAATAAAAGAAATTGTGGTCACGGTAAGACTCTAACTCACACCTTCACGATTTTAGCGCGATGCTCTGCCAATTGAACCACGCGACCTTATACCTGTAATTATGTATTCTCTTGTTTCTTTTCATCATTTTTTATATTTATCACAGGTGGACAAAAGTCTCATGTGGATTGATAGACGTACAATATAAGGGATAAAAACTTACGTCTCTTGAATCAGTAAAACAAAAGAGATTTGTGGTCATGGTAAGACTCGAACTCACATCTTCACGTTTTTAGCATGATGCTCTGCCAATTGAGCTACGCGACCTCGTACTTGTATATATGAGTTTTCTTACTTCTTTTTTTCTTTTTTTTATATTTATCACAGGTGGACAAAATCTCATATAGATTGATGGACGTACAATACAAGGGATAAAAACTTGCATCTCTTGAATCAGCAAAACAAAAGAAATTGTGGTCACGGTGAGACTCGAACTCACACCTTAGTGTTTTTAGCACGATGCTCTGCCAATTGAGCTACGCGACCTCGTACCTGTACTTATGAGTTCTCTTGAGACATTTGACAGTCGAACAGCCTTGTTCGAGTGTCGAATCGAAACAATTAAATCACTGAAACCAACGCAATTCATTCCAATAACAAAACTAACACGGGCAGATAAACTATAACAAACACCAAAAAATATCGAAAAACTAAAAAAAATCAAAAAACTTTTTGTCGCCCTCACAACGCATTGCTATGATTTCTTGTGCTGCCTTTTAAACAGCTATTCAGAACCTTGACTCTCAGCTCTATATTGCCACTATTTACTCCTCACCAGATGATGATAATACTATCGAATCTGCCAGCAACTTTATCTCTCCTGAATATCACGATTACTTGCCTCTCTTGTCGGAAAAGGAAGCTTAAGCTTTACCTCCATACTGATATGTTTACTATGCCATCTCCTTATAACATCTTTTTTTATATTTATCACAGGTGGACAGAATCTCATGTGATGGACGCACAATACAAGGGATAAAAACCTGTGTCTCTTGAATCAGCAAAACAAAAGAGATTTGTGGTCACGGTGAGACTCGAACTCACACCTTCACGTTTCAAACACGATGCTCTGCCAATTGAGCCACGCGACCTCATACCTGTACATATGAGTTTTCTTATTTCTTAATTCTTTTATCTTTTTTATATTTATCACAGATGGACAAAAAATCTCATGTAGATTGATGGACGCACAATACAAGGGATAAAAACTTGCGTCTCTTGAATCAGCAAAACAAAAGAGATTTGTGGTCACGGTGAGACTCGAACTCACACCTTCACGTTTTTAGCACGATGCTCTGCCGATTGAGCCACGCGACCTCGTACCTGTACATACTTTTGAGGTATACTTGCTAACAGTAGGGTGATTTCAAGCAGAAATAGCCCAAAAGTTAGCGGGAAAAAAAATGACAAAATCAAAAATTATGCATTTGATCACAACAAAATTCTCGACTACCTCTATCATAGCAGCGGCAGCAGCGGCGGCAGCAGAACATTAGCTATCGGATACAAAGGTGAATAAAATTAACCTTTTCTTCTTCTACAAGTCTTGCTCTGCCACCAGTTCTGCTACTTAGGTTGGTCGCACCACTTGGGATTGATGTTCCATTGCTTGAAGCAGCGCTCAAAATAGGAAGTTGTATATGGGTAATTTGTGATTGATCTACCTTACAAGATAACTCGCACTCTGAAGTCTGAAGACGAGCTTGATCCGGAGGTGTGTTCTGATAATTATTCGAAGGTAGAGAGCGAGTGCAAGAGGGGTAGGCATTGATAGTACATACATAACTATAAGTATGCGGGTATTTTTATTTACTAACAAATGGTTGCTATGGTAACATCGGAAGTTGTCGGGTTACCACGGACACTTAACACTAAAACCGGCCATAAATCTAACTTGTTGCGAAATCCCGACCATAGCGGTACTCGACTCTAGCTTTGCGGAGATTATGTAAGCTAGCAAATATAATTTGTATTGGTACCTTAGACAAAGGTCTTCACAAAACACTGGAACCACACTATAAGTATCCTCCGTAGATATCAGCATAATAGCACTATTCCCGTGAATTTGAGGGCAGCTTTTTGAATAAAGTTTGAGCTTGATGGAGAAAGAAATAAGGCTATTCTCTATACAACTAGCGTTTCTGGAAACGACTTCTATTCTACAAGTTATCCTGTAAAAATCGGCTTGGCCCCCCAACTGCCCCTCATTGATTCACCCATCTGTTGAATAGTGCTCTTTTGGCACTCTGGTTGGACAGAACAAGCAGCACGGTCCATCATGCCAGAAGCCTTATCGCCCATATGCTCAGTGATGGACTTTTGGGAGTCCGGCTTCACCTTACCTCTGAGCTGCTCGATCATAGACTTCCTTCCTATACATTATACCACAACTTATTTAGAGAGGAGCATTATGGAAATCCGAGAACTATGTTAACTTACCCGTATCAGACATGATTAATACTTTTGAGTAGAAAGAAGGAGGAATTCGGTTTATAGCTTTTGTTCGGATAGGTGTATAGAGGCGATTGCGATTGCGATTGCGATTGCTAGGCTAGAAGTTGCGAGCTAAAACATTGAAGAACGTATGTATCTAGTCATACTTAGTTAGCCAATTGGTTGTTTGACCTGGCGCTAGCATTTGTTCAGCATGTACAAGTTCCTTTGTCCCCTTCTGTAATAGCGCCGTGTCAAAATGAACCAGAAAATACGGGTACCTTAGTACATATGTATATGCATATGCATACCGAGAACAGCTATTGACATACATTTGAGCTAAAGGAATTCACGGCTAGTAATTTCCTCTGTTGTAATAAAGGCACAAGTTCAATCACGCAGTACGACATACGAGATAAGCAGATTAGTACGATAGAGAAGAGACTGTATAATATTCTCTTAAACCTGAATATCCTTTTACGAATGTAGCCGGCAAACTATCTAGGGTTTTGGTGTGATTTTGGTGACTTTGCGATCTTTCAGGGTAAATAGTAGAGCTAGCATTCTCACTGAAGTCCCACAAACTAAACTTTGTTTGCCAACCCGAACAAAATAAAAGCCCAATTCGACTCCTCCCCCCCACCAAAAAAAAAACTTATCCCTATTGTGTCCCTACTTGCCAATACCCGCAGTCCTCAGGATTCTCTCCAAAACCCTTTAGGATTTTTCCCTTTATTCTGCGGTAATTGCACAATTATGTTGAAGCTACTAGTCAGTAAGGATAATACACTCGAAGAGTATCCTTTCGAACAGTCAAACAGGATAAAGGCTGGAGTAGCAAAGGAATTGCTTACAGACGACTCTGTTGGGGGGGGGCGGCGTTCACACGATTTTCTGACTGCTTGAAGTACCATTGCATCAAACAAGGCTACGACTTAGGGGTATTATACAAAGTAGGAGAAGGTCAGTCTAAAAACGAACCCGATACCCCATAATTTCAGGCTAACAAGATTCGGAGCATGCCATATAGAACCATGTTTGCATTGGATCTCACAGATTATGCAGACCGTTCGATTTCTTATAGAGATCTTAATAGCTTCCAAAGACCCAAGTTCGATGCTGTCTTGCAGTGCTTAACGCAGCCGGTGCGGAAATTCTGAGCTCTTCCAAGGCAAGCAGTAGCCACACATAATACTTGGCGGTTGTAGACAGAGCGACGTACTTAGCTTCGATAGTAGATGTAGCTGTACATCGTTGTTTAATAGCACGCCAGCAAATGGTGTTAGTTGCTATTTGGAATATGTAAGCCCGTGGTAGGTTTTCGGTCGGATCGGTCGCCTGCATAATCAGCATCTGAATAGCCAGCCAAGTGTATATTTTCTGAATTGCGCATGCCTTTGGCATAGCCAGCTAGCTTAATAGTGGAACATTTGTTATAAGTAAGCTTGAGATTGCGAGTTCCTTTAAGGTATCGCAGCACTTGTTTGAGTGCCCCCATATGAGCTGTCGTTGGCTTAGATGCGAACTGGGAAAGGGCCGAGACCGAACCAGACTACCGAGACCGTAAATGCCAGGTCAGGTCTAGTTCCTATGACACTATCGACTGACAGTTTTCGTCAATGCCAACTTACCATTGGCAATCCTCGCACCGCAGTGGTGAACCTCAGCGTCTTTGGTTTTTTTTAACCTCAAATTTCCGCTGTAATAGGGATCGTAGCTTTGGAATTGCAGAGCATGAGATCCAAAGTCCGCTAGAGTAAAGTAGACTAATTATAAATGGACACTCAACGTGTACTGGATATAGAAATCTAGAATCCCAACCAGAACTAGAATTTATATACAGACCCAACTAGGTCCATTTCTAAAAAATGTTTCGTTTAGGTCTAGTTTTCGCAATGTTGATGGTACATTGATATTGAGAATATATTTTGTCATTTGCGAAGGCAAAGAAGTCCCTGCGGTTCATAGGGCTGGCCTTGGCGAGCTGGGGTGGGAAAGGCAAGCTACATACGGGTGCAAACCAGACTAGCTATATTACTAGTCTGGTTGGCACAAGCCGCTCGTAGAGCGTCTGGTCCAAAACATCTTTTTATTTGTATGGGCTAGTTTCGCTAGCGAAAATTGTATGTAGCAACCATTTGTATGCGAACTGTATGTACCAATAAATAACAAACCACAACATCTATTTCACGTACATCATCCAATCAGAATAACTACCTCGTTATCTACCTACGTCTTTCGTGAAAAAAGTCAAATACCTCCAAAGAAGTGAGTTACTAGAGCTGAGAAGGACGAGAACCCGGGAGAGATCCTTTTGAGTGTTGAAGCCTCTTCACTGCCTGCAGAACAGAACTACGACTGGAAACCAAAACAAAAGCGAACGCTAGCAGCAATGCTAATGGCGGCATGGTGTGAGTCCAAAAACACCAGCTGCAAAAGATTCTAACAAGAAGGCTTAAAGGTGTCTGCTAGAGGTGATCTAGATCTGCCTGCAACACCAGCTATCAATCCCTACACATATGATATAATGGGTTCTATGTATTGAAATGACATCAACTGGTAAAATATGTGATAGCTATAGGGGAGCAGGGAGATGTGAGTCCAGTGAAGGAATAAATGAATATCAATATTAAGCTGCATGAACAGGGAAGAGATGAAGAGCTTTGTATTTGAGCATATGGATTGACTTGACCAGATTGCTTCAAGAGTCAAGTATACCGAATATAGCAGATATATATATATAAATAGCAAGTGAATATCATGGACATATATATAGGGTGCCTTATAAGTTATTATGAAGCTGCTACTACCCGCTAATACTAGGTTTGAGCTGG